CTTCTTTCTCCTTTCCATACTGAAAGGCTTGTATTTGCTGATGACTATTACACTGATAATAGGAAAAACGTTTTTTTTTTTTTTTTTAAGAAGGGAAATAAATATTGCAGCTCAGTGGTGGAGGCTTCTTCTCCCAGCCTTGGGCAGAGACTCCAAAAATCCGTGTTAGAATGAATAAAACCTTCAGGGCCCTTCTTGCCTTTTGCCCCTTCCTGTTACAGGTTTCTCATTAGGTGCCCACACACAGAATCAATGAGGTTTTCTTTTCCTGGGTAGACAAGCTGATCCATGGAAATAAAGTCAAGAAAAAAGAGAAGATGCTAGTGTTTTATCAAAGGATTTAAACTAAAAGCAGTCTTAGAGATAGCACCACAACTCCCCTTCATTTTATAGATGAAGAACTTAAGCGTCAGTGAAGAAGAGAAATGAATGGTTCAAGGTTGTTCGGTAGTAAGTAGCAGAGACAGGATTAGAACCCAAATATTCTGGCTCTAAATCATCTAGCGCTTTTTTTCCTGGTGTTTTTCCTGGCACACGGCATTTCTCTGGAACCTGTCAGGCCAGTGTCTATATAAATTCATGGAAATGATCACTGTACCATTATTAAGACTCTTCCAAGTGAAATGGAGTCAAAGCTGCCTTAGTGATTGGCTGGGAGGGGAGACCTGAAATCTCTCTGAGCATCTACTGTATTGTTGGGATTTTCCATAGGTCCCTCTGACTCTCTGGGCTTCATGTAACAATAAAAACTGACATTTATTTTAAAAAAATATTCTTTATATCTATTATCTCATTATATTTTATTTTATTTGCTTTTGGAGGCAATTGGAGTTAAGTCACATAGTTAGTAAATGTCTGAGGCTGGATTTGAACTCGGGTCCTCTGGACTCCAGGACTGGTGTTATATCTACTGTGCCACCTAGCTGCCCCCCTCATTTGATTTTCAGAATAACCCCGTGATATAGATACTATAGTTTTATCCCACTTTTACAGATGAGCTAGCTGAGCTCAGTAACAATAAGTGATTTCTCTGTGTTTGTAATCTGATGATGGACCTAGAGGTGGGTTCTAAACCTCCTCTTACCGCAAATTGGGCTCTCTTTTCATCTTAGCAGCTAAAATGAAGGGGTTAAACTAGTTGTATCCTAAGAGCCCTTTGGACCCTAAGATTCTTTGTTCTGGAAATCTGTTGGACGTGGGTCACAGAACAACCTTCCCTAGCAGATATTCAGTGGGGGAGAATGAGCTAGCTCAACAGAAAGAAAAACCCTTCCCTTTCCACTCCGGCATGCACTGTCTAATCCTGTGTCTTTCTTGAATGCCTAGGTGCCATGGTGATTGGTGTCATAGAAATGCTGTGAGGGAGAGGAAGAGGGAAAGCTCTCTGTGTCTGTCACTATATTTATCAGTCATAAAAATATACACCTCCCTTTCCTGGCAGCCTCTCAGCTAGAGTGGGATGACGGCAAAGCAATTCAGGGACTGGGAAGGGGAATCAGATAGGACTGACTCTCTTCTTTTGTGACTTGGCTGTTGCCCTCCCCCACCTATTGGGAATCCCTTTCTCTCTTGCTTAGATCAGCTTCTTAGGGACCTGCAATATACTGGGATGGGGGCATTCAGCTGTGTGCTTTGGAGGTAACCCTATGATTGTACCTTCAGTAATAGGATTTTAGAATCATGGATCTAGGCCACACACCCTTCAGTTCTGTTCAATAAACATTTATTAAATATCTACTATGTGCCAGGCACTGTGCTAAATGCTGGGGATACAGATGAGAAAAAGAGAAAGGCTCTGCCTTCAAGGAACTTACAATCTAATGTGGGGAGACAAGACACAAAAGGAAGCTGAAAGGGGGAAGGGACCCCAAGGGGTATCTGGGATGGGGGTTGTTCTGTGGAACTGAAACTAAGCAGAGCAGACCTGATTAAGGCCTAGAGAATTTAAATGACTCTCCTAGGATTACAAATCTAGTGTTTGAAGTAAGATTTGAACCCAGGCCTTCTGATTCCAAATGCAGTCATCTTTTCCACTCTTCTGCTTTTCCCAGAGGATAGCTCTAGGACTGCCCATTCAGAAGCCTTTTCTCTTGTTCCATTTGGTTGTATGTCAATGATAGGCCTATAGGAGGGATGACTGACACTTGGAAGAGGCCTTGGAGGCCATCAAATCCAAGCCCCTCATTTTGAAGATAAAGAAATTATTCTATGCTTGTTACCAACTGCATTAGGACGTGAACCTGGATCTCCTCACACCCAGTCCAGAACCACGTAAGAAATAATTTTGTGTATATGTATTTTTTTGTGGAAGTTTATTTTATTTTTTTATTTGAAGAAAGGGAAGTCTGGGCAGGAATTAATGCTGAATAATTGAATCTAACAGCTTATTCAGAAGACAGATCTGAGTCTTATCCAGCAGAGGAGTGGATGATTTTTTTAAAAAATTTTCATATCTTATTTTGAGTTCCAAATTCTCTCCTTCCCTTTGGCCCCTCCCCAATCTATTAAGAGGGCAAACAACACAGAGAGCATCATGGTAGGTAAATGGATAATTTTGATTAAATTTAAAAGATTTTGCACAAACAAAACCAATGCAGCCAAAATTAGGAGAGTAGGAAACCGGGGGAAATTTTTTTACAGCAAATTTCTCTGATAAAGGCCGCATCTCTCAAATGTATATGAAACTGAGCCAAATTTACAAAAATAAGAGCCATTCCCCAATTGATAATTGGTCAAAGGATATAAACAGGCAGTTTTTAGATGAAGAAATCAAAACTATCCATAGTCATACAGATCATTTTTTAATTAAGGTTTCACACCATAATGGGCTACCAAGAGTGTTTAGGGATGGTTGGGGTCAGTTGCCTCGTCTTTGAAAGAGTTGTTTCTTTGACAAATAGGTTGAGGGACCAGCGTCTTTCCAGTCTCTCCGGTGTCTCACCTTGATTTCCTTCTTGACTCCTCACTCATACTCACCTCACGTATCCAATCTGTTGTCAAATTTCTTTTTTTCTACTTTCACAATGCCTCCCATATCCATCCCCTTCTTTTTACTCCTGTAGCCACCAGTCACCCTTCTGCAGGCCCTCTTCATCTCTTGCCCGGGCTATTTCAATAGCCTTCTGGTAGATCTTCTTGCCTCAAATCTCTCTTTGCTCCAATCCGTCCTCTGCTCTGCTGTCAAAATGATCTTCCTAAAGCTCAGATCTGATCATGTCACCCCCTTATTCAATAAACTCCAAGGCCTCTTTATTGCTTTGCAGCATCAAATATAAAAAATGCTTAGTTTGGCATTTAAAGCCTTCCCAATCTGGTACCTTCCTATCTTTCCAGGCTTCTTATACTTTATTCCCCATCACTTACTCTGTTCTTATTGTTGTTGAGTTGTTTCATTTGTGTCTGACTCTCCATGAGCCCATTTGGGGTTTTCTTGGCAAAGATACAGGATTGGTTTGCCATTTCCTTCTCCAGTTCATTTTACAGATGAAGAAACTGAGGCAAATGGGGTTAAGTGACTTGCCTAGGGTCACATAACTAGTAAGTGTCTGAGGCCAGATTTGAACTCAGGTCCTCCTGACTTCAGGGCCAGCACTCTATCCACTGAGTCACCTAGCTGTCCTTTAGGCACTCTACAATCTAGCAAATGGGACCACTGGCTGGTCCTTACCTACAACATCATCTCCCAAATCCACCATTTCACTAGTTGTCTCCCAGGCCTGGAATGCTCTCCCTCCTCACTTCTGCCTGCTGGCTTGCTTGAATTCTTTTAAAACTCACCTCAAATTCCACCTTCAGCGGAAAGTCTTTCCTGCCCACTTGCATCCTCACAAAGTGCCTTATTCTTTGGGATCAGCTTCCATTTGTACTGTAGGTATCTTGTATGTATGTATGTAGTTGTTTTCAGGTTTTCCCTCCCATTAGAATGTGAGTTTCTTGAGGATATGGATTGTTTTTATTTTTCATTTCTTTGTGTTCTCAGACCTTAGCACAGTGCCTGGCATGTCGTAAATGGTTAATAAATATTTGTAGACTGACTGACATATAGTACTTTTTTGAAGTGCTTGCAGAACCAACAATCCTATGGTGGATGGACCGTAAGGCTAACCTCAGTTGATAATCTTTTTGTAGTGAGAAATAGTATGGAGTTATGGAAAGCGGATTAGAAAGAGTCAGAAGACATGGTTTAATGATGTATACAGTTATCTCTTCTACATTCCGGGGATGGGGGGAACAGTGCTCCTGCAATCTGGAAAATCCAAGAAAAAAATTTTGGTCCTCTTTGTACCAGAGAAGAAGTCTAAATTTTTTTTCTTTTTCTTTTATTGGGTGTTTTACAGTGCCTTATTGTAAAATTTGGGTTAAGCATTTGGTCATAGGCTATATTATACAATACTATACATATATTTTATGCATTTCTGAGTTTCTAAACTTTTTCCATGGCATCTGCTGGCTTTCGTGTGTCATCTGCAGCTTCTGAAAAACTCCCCCCAAATTCCCATTTAATTCCTTATGCTGACCCACAGTGTGTCAAAACCACAATGGGGAAAGTTGCAATGTGAAAAAAGAGAATTGTAAATCATTTAATCCTGTATGGCTACAGTTTCCTTATCTGTAAAATGGGGATAATAATACCTGAGCCAAGAGGCGACCTGGCACAGTGGATAGAGAGCCACCTTCAGAGTCAGGAAACCCAGGACTCAAGTCCAGTTTTGGACACAAACCATAGGACTCTAAGGAAGTTGCTTAACCTTTTGATGCCATAGGACGCTCTAAAACTATAAATAGCAGAGAAAAATCTGTGTTGGTAGAAGAGAGTTCTTTGTAACTGTGCCAGTGATATAAAAGGTCCAATCCAAAAGACAAATGACTAAAACTTTTGGACCTACATACCTCACAACATGTTTGGGAGAAACTGCTTGGTATATTCTAAAATGCTATAATAATGTAAACTATTATCGTGACTAAATCTTACCCTATTTTTTTTTTTGTTGTTGTTGTAGTGACCTGGACAGAAATAATATCACCAGAATCACCAAGACGGACTTTGCAGGGCTTAAAAATCTCCGAGTCTTGTAAGTAACATGGCTGGCCATCTGATGGGTCTGTGTTTTCTGTCCTCTTGGAAAATGGGCATGACTTACCTACACCCCAGACCCCAAACATACAGACAGGATATATACTGTGCACAGTGGTCTAACAGCATTGCAGAATCCCATTCTTTTTTTTTTCTTTTTTTTTTTTAAGGCAATTGGGGTTAAGTGACTTGCCCAGGGTCACACAGCTAGTTAGTGACAAGTGTTTGGTCTGAGGCCGGATTTGAACTCAGGTCGATCCTGACTTCAGGGCCGGTGCTCTATCCACTGCGCCACCTAGCTGCCCCACAGAATCCCATTCTTTAGCCTCACTCAGGTGGCCTGGCTTAAATATATGGCCCCATCTCCTATGGGCCAGTGGCACAGAGTTGATCAAACCAGTAGGGAAAGAGTATCTTTGTTACATGGAAGAGAGGAGGTTGTATGGAATAGATCACCATGCTCCTGCTCTCATGCTGGTAGCAATAACTTTAGGTTGGCTAGCCGTACAACTTCCCTCCTACACGTAACTATTACTTCTTGCCCAGTCTGTGCATTAAAAAGAGAATGGGTTACAATAGGTCCTACCTTGTTTTTTCCTGAGGGACCTCCACAAAGCACCCAGTGAATACCCACAACTCCTGCTAAATAGAGAAAAAAATAAAACAAAACCAAACCATGTTTGGTTGCTGGGAAGTTAAAGCTTTTTCCAGTTCTAAAGCTCAGCAAATACTGATTGACTGAAAAGTCCAAGCCCCAGAGAGTGTCAGGAATAGTTCTTGTAGACTTCCTAAAGTCCAGCAATAAAAAAAAAAAAATTAGGCCTCTCGGTATTGCCAAGCACAGAGGTGATAGAAGTAAAGGCCAGCCGTTTAGGTCCAGGAGATAATATTTGTAAAGTGCATTGCCCAGTGCCTCATACATAGCAGGTGCTTAATAAATGTCTGTTTCCTCCCCTCCTTTCTCCCATGGAAGGGATGAACATAGTTATTTTAGAGGCAGGTAGGGGTTGCAGTGGATAGAGTACTGGGTCTGGGTCAGGAAGACTTGAGTTCAAATGTGGCCTCAGACACTTATTAGCTGGGTGATTCTAAACAAGTCATTTAACCTGTCTGCCTCAGTTTCTTCAACTGTAAATTGGGAATCACAATAGCACCTACCTCTCAGAGTTTTTGTGAGGATCAAATGAGATAATATTTGTAAAGCTCTTAGCACAGTACCTGACATACAGTAGGCACTTCCCCCAATATCATCAGTGCAGGGAACTCTCATTATGGTAACTCCCTCTAATGATGCAGTATAGCAACCAAGCTGCAAATTAGTCTTTGAGTTTAGCTTAGAGCAGGGCAGCTAGGTGGCACAGTGGATAGAGCACTGGGCCTCAAGTCAGGAAGACTCATCTCCCTGAGTTCAAATCCAGCCTCAGACACTTACTAGCTATGTGACCGTGGGCAAGTCCCTGTTTGCCTCAATTTCTTCATCTGTAAAATGAGCTGGAGAAGAAAATGGCAAACCACTCCAGTATCTTTGCCAAGAAAATCCCAAATGGGCTCATGAAGAGTCAGATACAACTAAAAAGACAGCTCAACAACGTAGCTTAGAGAAGTGAGGTTAAGTGCCTTGCCCACAAACACAATAAAAGGCAGAACTTGAACCCAGATCTTCTTGACTCTAAGACCAACCCTTTCTCCACTATGTCCTGTTATGAGCAGTTTCTGTTTGAAAACTCCATATGAGCAACACAAGGAGCTCACAATCTCATGAGAGAACATGCAAATAAATATGTACATGCAAGCTATTCACAGGAACCATGTAACTACCTGTGCTAACTGGCTTTACCGTTATGACCTTCTATGGAATTTCCTTTTCCATATTAAATGGTCTCTTCTAAAATCATAGAAATGGTAGAACCACAAAGTTGTAAGGAAACTCAGAGATCACTGAGACCCTCCTCAAAAATGAATCTTGTCTTATACCACCCTGACACATAATCATGTGGACTCTTGCGGGGCTTAAGGACCTCCAAGATTTTCAGTATCTCTTCCCCCAGAGCAATCCATGCCATGGCAGGGAGGGAGGGCAGCTCTAACATTTTAGGATCCTACAAACCTCAAGCTAGCAAGGTGGCTTTTTAAGGTCATAGTCCCAGAACCAGAGGAGGTAAGATTTTGAAAGAGAACTTTATTTTAACTAGTCTCCTTTTTTTCTGTTGTAAATAAACTGTCAAATGATTTGCATCACTGATTCAGGATAGAATTTGGGCTAAAATTTGGGATAAGAGTGAATTCTGAGGGCATTATTTTAAAAGAGTTAATGAAAAGAAATAAGAGCAATAATTCTCTGATCCCAGGCATTCGATCAGTTAAAGAACTGAATTTTCTTTCAGCAGGATAGACATTTTTTAATATAAAAACTGGGGTGAAGGAAATTGAGGGCCTTCTGATTTCTACATCTGTGAGAGATTTCACCCGATGTTTCATTTTCTAGCATGGCTGCTCATGGGGTGTGTGTGTGTGTGTGTGTGTGTGTGTGTGTGTGTGTGTGTGTGTG